GTTTTGTGTTTACCATCTTCTAAACCCATTATGTACATTGTGTCCAGCGCATCGACTATGGTTAGTCCTAAACCGAACCAATCGTGAAATGTTTCCGAGATAGGCTTTAAGTTATCATGGCCCCAAGCGTATTTTTGATAATTATACCAAGAGTGTTTAAAAGCATTAACTACTGCCACTTGTCGCTCGTTGCGCGCACCGTGAAAATGTTGCTTCTGAGGTAGATTTGTGACATCAATACTTTCAAGAAATTCGTCAATTGTAACGCCGTCACTCCCTGGCAAAAGGTTGGGATCTTGTATGGCTAATTCAATCTCAGCTCGATCATATTCGAGCGTGAGATCTTCTTTATTGCTTTCAATATTATTCTCCTTTATGTTTTCAATATTCTTTGAAATATCTGGTTGCCGAGCTGCTGATTGCTGTAGGGACAGCTGATGTTGAATTTCCGAAGTTGATGGAATATTTCTCTGCAAAAATGTAAGGAAAAGGAAAAAAGTTATCTCCAACCCGTCGTCTGGAATGCAAATTTGTAAATATTCCAAGCATTTTGTTAATCGAAGACCCACTTGGTCAATCGGGAAATCTTTTAGAGGGTGTTAAAATTAGGGGTAAAACTTTTCCTAACAATACTTTTAAAGAATTTCGAATTGCTTATCAATACACTGGCCAATAAGACGTGGGTTTGTGATTTTTGTCAAGCAAATATTATTAGAATACCACGAACATGTATACCTTTAGATACAGTAATAATTACTCACTTCTAGAGCATTTCGAAGCGCCTCCCCTTTAATATCCGCGTTTTGGGGATGGTTGAGAAAACGTTTCCTATAATTATCGTAGGTCACATTATTAAAGAACTCATTGCCAAGATCTTTGAAAGGCAGTAAACCATCGCGGGTTAGAGCCTTTTGTTTGCCCGATTTATTCCAAAGCTGCAAATCCAATAATATTATGATTATGAATAGAATGCTTAAAATAAATAAGCAACGTGGACTGCGAAACAGTTTTCTCCATAATCTGTAAATTATTTATAGTTCACTAATCGATAGATATAAAATAATGTGAATAGATTTTTTGCCTTGGACTTTTTCGTGTTGCTGGTACCGTGGGTAAATTTAATTTTACTTGAGCCGATCGCTCCAGCATGTTTGCAAAATATACTTTCTTTGAGATACGTTTGCACCTTTTCTCCGAATATAATAATTTTCTGTAATTCGTTTAAAATTTTCTGAAACGATTCTCGAACTTACGACATTTGTTTAAAATATATTTCAAGGCGTTAACAGTTTTGAGACATGTCAGTTTTTTCCGTTATCTAACAATTAACGCAATGTAAATATAAAATTTGCAAAAAAACTTTAATTTAAAAACAAGTAAAACGATTATAATAGGATATGTCCCGTTATTAAATACTCACCACCATCATATAGTTATTCTCTTACCGCCTTTTTAAAATAAGGCGTAATGTAGGGAGTGGTCGAAAAAGTGAACCAGTGTGGACCATTTTCAATAGTGCTCGCCCTTGGATCAAAACATATCAATATAAAGAACCTCCCATCAAAATAACTCAAAAATTGCGAAAGGCAAGTTGAATGTGAAGGTACGTGGGCAGGCATCGGACAGGCAGGCGACGTAATTAGATCGATTCAGAATCATTTACTGATTCGATATAAGGTGTGCACATATACTTTACACCACAACTGGTATAGGGTGTAATAAATCGTCTTGCTTGCCGCTTCTCCTCCTTTCTTTTCTACTTTTTGTTTCTTTCTTGAAAAGTAAGTTCGATGTACTTTTAAGGTAATAAAAACCATATGATTTGCCATTGTCGTTAAAGTCTAGTGAAAAATTGAAAAACTTTTCATGCCTGTTATGAAAATGAAAAGTTCTGTCTACGCGTATTTACTGCTTTCAATGCATTCAATTTAAGTATCAAAGCCTACCAAGCGAATAAAGGGTTCATCGCTTTAGCCAACGCGATTGTTATAAACATTTAGTCCGGCCTTAGAATCAGAAGGTCTAAGAATTAGTAAATGATTACATTTGCACAATTTTCCATAATAAAATCGTCCCGATAAGATTCAATAATGTAAGATCCTAAGACCAGAATTCTATGAGAATCATTCCCAATGAAAAAAAACTCTGTAGTGAACTTGATAAGCGATTAAACGTTTAATGAAATTTAGCGGAACAAATTTTAGAACGATTTCGGCCGTTGTTTATAAGATCCGTCAGCTGTGAAGCGGCTTTATGCTTCTTATACACTTGGACGAAGTTTCCAAGAGATTTTGCGAAAAGACAGAGGTGAAACTTGGCACAGGTCGCATTAGCGATTACATATGAGATCCGATTTTCAACGACTATTTTTTCTCCTTTTTTTTCTAATTGAAGACCTCTCTCTCTCCTAGTTTTCCTAGTTCAAGCTTATTTACACTAAAAATTTCCTGCCGTTTTTATCGTTGGAGCAAGATTTTCCAAGATTGTCCAAGATTTTCTATATATAGATTTATGGAGCTTCTTAAGCGTGTAAGTATTCTATCGTAGCATTCATTAGTTACTCTTCTCCCCATCCATTTATGTTCACATAAGAACCGGTCACTATCAAGCGCGTTCGACAATAGGTTATATTAAACGCCGAAGATATTTCCGGAACTTGCTTGTTCTTTACTTAACACATGCCTTTTCTATAAGGGATTTGCATGCGCTCTCGTTTTTCCCTTTTTTTTTAAGAGACATTTCAAGAAACGACTGAATCGCGCAAGGACGCCTTCTTATATAACTAGTAGCAAATAAAGAGCTTCAAAAATTTTTGAAAGATATTTTCTTATCATTACTTCTTGGGTTTTGTGTATCTTTTAATAAACACTATTGATGTTTTTCTTAAAGTAATAACGTAAAACTTATTTATGACAGGTTCAGTAGAAGATTAAAACCAAGGCAGGTGTCTCAAGATGTTTTTAAAGCAAGCTTACGGAAAGCAAAGTATTATTATTATAGCCTAGTAGACGCAATTGGACACAATTATCATTTCTGCTGTCATCCTCCAAACATAATACTATAGAGTTTAGCTTATGTGCCATAGTAAAGGTAAGAGTAAAATTGGAAACATTTTCTCTATTTTTTCGTTTAGATTCCGATTTACAGTTGATTCTTACGGATATTATAGCCAGTTTGATTATGTCTTCAGAGATTGGGATACTAGTCGCTATAGGCATGAGGTTTTTGCTCATATCTTGGAACTATGCCGAAAGTATTACTGGAAATAGTACTAATAGTTGTAAAAATCTGCGAAAGGTTTAACATCTGAAAATACTTTATGCTTGTTAATCCTAGCATGCTCCGGATTAATTGTGATTCTTACAAGTTACGTCCTTGAAAACTTTTCCCTGGGCTGGATGACTTTAATTCAATGTAAATTATGAAAATTTGTTTATAAATGAAATTTTTTCCCTTTTATAACTAGTAGCAAATAAAGAGCTTCAAAAATATTTGAAATATATTTTCTTATCATTGCTTCTTGGGTTTTGTGTATCTTTTAATAAACACTGTTGATGTTTTTCTTAAAGTAAAAAAGTGAAACTTATTTATGACGGGGTCAGTAGAAGGTTAAAGCCAAGGTAGGTGTCTCAAGATGTTTTTAAAGCAAACTTATGACCTTCACTTCCTTATTCCTTTGAGTTTTCATAAAAATTAGACTTTAATGTCACCATATAAGTGCCATTCTTCGGATCGATAAAGTTTTCTCAGCCAAGGATCGCCTATGTTTTTCCATTTTTTGCTATACGAAACCTCAAGCTCCGCTTAACCATTTGCAAAAAACCGCATCTAAATAAACGCTTCTGTTCCTGAGTTATAAACGAAAAAAGCGTATGTGGACGCACAGCTAACGCGAACAAAATTTTACGTAAAATTCTTCATATAAAATAAAATGAATCACCAGGCCAACAGAATCGAACGAGAAAGCAAATTTTGTCTTGTATTTTTGTTGTTGTTTCATTAAAAATATTTCAAATATTTGACACACCCCCTCTAACCGTAATTCCATTGTCGGCCATTTTCACATGAGTTTTGTTATTGCAATAACTCAGCAATGCTTTGATTAAGGTTGTATGAGTATTTTCACAGAGATGTATCAACACAACGTTTCGTTTTCTATTTAGTCTCGTACGAGTTCTTATGCATTGAGGGTGTGTTGACGCACTCTTTTTGAAATTTTAGCAATGCATTAAGTACGACTTTATGTGCGTTTACACAAAGCTATAACAACAAAACGTTTAGTTTTAACTTAGTGCAGACGTACATACTATGCAGAAGGACTTACGATTGGCACAGATTTTATTATACCGATCGATTCAAAATCATAATCTGAATTAGTCTAACCCTGTCTGTCCGTCTGATAACTGTCCATGTAAATTTGTGTTTACCCTACAGCTCGCAATTTTTGGAATTTTTCGATGAAATTTGGCAGAGTGACGTATGTTGACCCAAGGACGAACGCTATGGAAAATGGTTCGAATCGTGCCACTTTTGCGTCCACTTCCCATACAATCTTACTTTTTGCAAACGGCGTTACCTAAGTAACTGTAGGGTGATGAAAGGTATTTAATGGAGGAACGTTTAAACTTACAAATACATATTGTTTATTGACTTTTTCTATTTATTAAAATTCAGCTGATGGTTGCTTTGATGGTTTTAAAGTTTTCATCTGTATTGATACTGATGAAGATAATTTCGTAGTTTGATAGCTTCACTTGGACTTGAAAACGTGAAATTACTTTTCCTAAACTTATACTAGGGAAAAAATAATCTCTTGCATGGTAAGCTAAACTTCCATCATTACGAATGGTGCCATTAACTAGATATCTCGAGAGCTCGATTTTTTCTGTTTATTTTCCTCGTTCTGCAAAAAAAATTTACAGTTGAATAAAGTTTAAAAATAAAAAGATTTTCGAACTTACCAAGGCGGCTGACGCAATGTTATCATTGTTCCATGTTAATTATATGAGAAAAACTTTGTTACTTTAGCCGCAGAACGAGTATAATATCGTTGTTGCTTTTCCATCTTTTTTTATCATTTTGCGTTATTGCCATTATTGCTCCCATTGTCGTTGTTACTTCGTTGTAAAACTTGTCGCTTCTAAAGTTCCCATTGCTGCTATCGTTTGGAAAGCGTTTGTCCTTACGTCCCTAGTCATTTTTGCTTTTACAATTGCTTTCGCTATTGCCATCTCATTGTTCGCGACCTTTGCAAAGGCTATTGCCAATGCCGAGGAGAAATTCTAATGATGTGTTTTTATACATTGCATGCTAGCTCGTTGCTGCACATGTTGTTGTCCATGGAATTCGCAATCATTTTAAGACGTTTTTATAATTTAAACATAAGGATGGAGTCGATATATTAGCTAAACGTTGTTATACTATTTATTACATTTATCAAACATTTGCGTGTCTTGTCATTATTCGCAATCATGAAGACACTGACTAGGGTAGCAGGTTAACCACTAAGCACGTTCCAAATGAATTTCAAATAAAGCTCAAAAATAAATAAAAATAAAGTGAATAAAATAAGTTAATATTCGCGATGATGTGAATGATGTTTGCTATCCTGCAACCTTAGTAAACGACGTCATCAGGAGTAATGGCGAGTACATTGAATAATTAAACAATAACATAAAATTTTTATTAATTTCATGAAAGAAACACATTTTTTTTTTTTTTCGTTTATGTGATAGCAAAAATTTAATTTACTCTTTTACTCATCTTTTCTTAGCGAACTTGTGTAATAATTGTGCTAAATACTTCTAATATCCGTTACAAGTGCTTTTAAAGTTTCTTAAGTTCTAAGCTAAGAAACTAAAATATGGTTATAAAGAAAGAAATGTTGACAATAAATAAATGAAACAAGTACGAAGATTATATTCGGACGCGACCGAACTTTTTTATGCTTATCACTGTTTGATAGTGATCAGGTCTGTGGAGAAGGGTGCTGCAAACATTTCAATAAGATAATGAGATCTTATAATACTGACTAGGCGTGGCCTATTCATTTATTCATTTTTGCACAAGTGCTGCCGAGATATCCATAGATTAGATGAATACAAATCGTTGCAAATACGAATCGTTGCATCTGCTGTGGTTCATAAGAAACGAGCAAGAAATAGTTTCTTTTTTATTTTTGAAATTAAATGTGATCTCGGGTTATTATTGTATTGTGGTCGGATGTATCGAACGATTGGGCTCAATTTCAATATCAATCTGTGTGCAAGAATTTCCCATCTTTGTGTCAAATTTGAAGCCGATTGTTACATTTTGCATTTGCAACCAGATGAGTGTTTACCACAGACGTTATACAAACCGATAGACTGAGATGCTTAAATCGGTTTAGAATGCGATGCTTATCAGAAGTATATATGCTTTATGGGGCGCATTCGGTGTTGCAAAGGTGTTGGCAAGGTGGAATAGACTCCTTCAGGTCCTTGTAAACGTATTCGAAGTCAAATAAATATACTCAACTAAGATATTTGTATTTATTTCGTTAAATGTATTTAAATAAATCGATTGTGTACTTTTTACAACTTTAAAGTCCTTTGGAAAGTATATTTCTCTTTGGACACATTTGTGGGCTGACACTAACTTTTTTCCATTAAAATTTTTATAAGTAAATACACTTGCCATTATAGGAATATATAAATTTTAATTTGCTTGCAGGCATCTCAACAATTTTTGTACCGATCACTGGTGTATTTGCTGAAACATTTGCAACGCCCAGAGACGCTACAAAGTGTATATATTCTTGATCAGCATCCAATTCTATATCGATTTAAACATGTACGTCTCTCCGTCCGTGAGATCTCTGTTTGAATTGAAGCTAACGGCTTCAAAGTTGACAAAAACATAGAAAGTTCTTGCACGCAGGCTAGTACCGAAAGTGGGCCAAATTAGTCGAAGGAAGGTTTTTTGCTCATTACTACTATAAACTATAGCAGATGAATGTACAAAAATTTGAACGCATGCTCTATATGAGCGATGCTGCAGCACTTGTGCAAATGGAAAAACTTGACCACGTCTACCCAATTTTATAATGTATCAAATTTTAATTCTTGGATCAATCAATCAATGCTTCCATTCTTTTTCCAATAAATACGTTCGAAAAGAAAATTAAATAAATAAATAAGTAAATAAATAACATGGCATGACAATGATAGAGTAAACATTAAATTATATATAAGTTTAAGGATTCTTTTGCATAACTGTGTCACCACACATACGGTAGCACCCAAAAAATATATTGCCGCATGCTATACTATTGTAACATTATATGCTCTATATCTGACATAAATAATAGTATGCTTAACATATCCGAATGAAAATTGAAGTGATTATAACACAAACAGCACTAATGATAGGCTTTTATTAGCTAAAAGCAAATTTATGAACTGATTTCGATAATTTTGAAATTTATCTTGGCATTGGATCTACCGACATATTGTACATACATACCTATTTTCACTAAAAGAGATGATTTTGGTTTTCTTTGCTTATGAAGTCGCCACGGTCGCAAAAATGAACCACAAAAATCTGAAATTTATCATAAACATTCCTTGATCCATGGACAGCCCATGGTTAAAAAATTGTTGTGATCTTTCTACCAGATTAGAAGCTGAGCCAATCTCGACGAAACCAACTAACAAACAATGTTACGATATTTTCGTCTGCAAGTTTCGATCTCGTGGAGATATTTCCGAAAGCCTGCAACCCAACCGTTTATGAGGATCACTTGTTTCTTCAGCTCAAAAATACTTATTATTGATTTACTAATATATTCAAAATTAATGATAAAATTTTAATTCGAATTTGTTTTTAGTTTATTTTAACGCACATTAGCATGCTATTTACCGAATCCCAAATAAATTAGAAATAAATTTTAATTACAATTGTGGACACTAATATAAAAACAAGTCGATATTCAGTCAGGTCATGCTTGCTCTCTAGCCTCATAGATTAAGGAATATTTGTGCTGAATTTCAGCTTCCTATCGCCATTTTTGCGCCTGTGGCAACTTCACAAGAAAAGAGGATCAAAATGACCTCTTTTGCTAGAACTAGTTATATGCCTTCAGTATCTCGCCAAGGTATTTTCGTACCTTCTTTGAAAATGAAAAAGGGTCAACATGACGCAACTACTTATGTTAGATTGAAGAGAAAAATTTTAAAATTATTTCTAGATATATGTTTGGAAAAGTAGTTGTAATCTTGGTACAAAGAGATCCAGATGTGATTACATTAATTGGCCAATTCATACATGTTGTTTGTGTTGCTTGCAATCAATATTTCTACATAAGTTAATTATATTTGACACAATTAAGAAGATACTGTACTCGTAATAATATAATGTAAAAATCGAATAAATTCGTACGAATAAAAGGAAATAAAAAATTTTATTAAACGAATTTTTTTTTTATACTCGCCATCAGTTGCGACGAAACGAATAATTTTTAAAGTAAGAGGGAAAGGGAAGAGCTTGGCATCAAACTGCCTCCTCCATGAAAACGTCTCGCTGACGAAGAGAATTATCCGATAATTTTCAACGCATACTATGATGAGTACAAAAAAAAAACTAATATTGTATTGCAATCTTACAATACCACTAAATTTTGTAATTCAACTTAAAAAAAAAAAACCTATAGTTATATTCTACTTTTTTTTATTGAAATATTTTTAATACTTCTTTATATAGCTAAGAATTTCTAAAAATATTCACTGATATTATTCAATTTATTTATGCCTGCGCATGAATATAGTTTGACTTCTTTCTTAATTTTAAGTTGCGTGAAAATGGAAACACAATTTCGCTATATATTTGGCTTTTTGTTATATAACAAGTAAACAAATAATAAATATTTAAGTGCTCTATGCTAGATATCAAATTAAGTTAAGATATGAAAAGGATTTACATATATGTATGTATTCTAATGTATTACAGCACAATTGTACATACACATTATATAAGTGTGGTTTTCAAATATTGAAAAATTTTCTTTTAAAAATATCTTATATTTACAACAGCTTCTGTTAATATAATCAGACTCTTCTCATATATGTGATTATTTGTGTACGCATTGCTCTTCTCTAATTCTTTCTAATTGGTAATGGATG